AAAAGAAAATCAAACAACAAAACAATGCTTTTAAAAATTTTGAATTGGTAAGAAAGATACAGTAGATGGCAACAGTAGGTTTCTCTTTTTAAAACCATGAAATAGTCAACTACACAGAAAAGTAGAAAAATGATACAACAGGTACTAACAGACTTAGATACATTCAACATTTTACCATTTTGTTTCATTATTTAAGTACATTTTATTGGGGTACTCCTAAGGGATTCTAAAGTACAAACATCACCACAGTTCACTTTTAAATACTACGTATCTCCAAAACTTAAGGATGCCGATGCCGTCCTTCATGATGACATCATCACTGTAACAAGTGTAAAAGAACTCATCCCATGCCCAGCCCAGTTTCCCCAACCTAACTCAACTTGCCTGTAAATTATTTTTTTGTTCAGTTTGCCTTCCACCTCTAGAAAACGTCTGATTTTTTTCCATCCAAGGTTTTTTCTGAATTGCCTGGCAAGTTACATTGGTCCAATTTACACCACCTGTAACAAATATGTAGAGAAATATAAAGATACATTTTGCTTATAGAAGCTAAAATCCACACTGCCCTGTAACTTTATTTACTCAAATGAAGTGCCAAGACTGTTTTGTGCCAGCTTTAAGTGGTGTGGTAGCTCCTAGGACACACACGGAGCTTTCTAGGAACCCTGAGCTGGCATTCACCCATCAGCCTAGCAAAACGGTACTTTAAATACAGTAATGACGTGGGAGACTTGTCCTTTGTTTTAATTAGCACTAGCGAGACTCATACTTCAAAACTATGACATACACAAAGAAAACAGAAAATAATTACCTGTACACAGAGATGATTCCACATGCTGGAAAGAGAAACAACACAATTACCGTCTACTTACAGCGAGGCAACACAATGCCCCCTGTGACACCATTCATAGCTAGCCCAGGGTGAAGCACGCTCGGGATAATCTGAGACTAACTGCCCCACCAACGCTTTCATGACTGAGCGCCATGGCTTGTATCTAGGCGTCTTTACAAAGCCACACGGCTCAGAGGCTGCTGGATCAGTATGAGGCAGAGACCAGGATAACGAGTAGTGACTCCGAGTCCACGGACTGGCGTGGCGCAGCTCTGGGTGTGGGTGATGGGCAGGCCCTCCACGGTGTGGGCGCTGCCCGGCCTCGGGCAGGAAGCCTGGACAGAACACGAAGACACAAAGAGGCTGCTTCCCGGCCTTCCGCCCGCCATCACTGTGCCCCTGTGCCACGCCACCCTGTCTCAGAGTCAACTACACACTGAAGCCTCTGCAAGCTGTGAGCTACACTAACCCTTCCATCCCTTAACTCCGGGTGTTGGGTATTTTGTGCCGGCAGCAAGAAAAGTAACTGACACAGAGAAGACATGTAAAATCTCTGCCGCCTTCCTGCACTAGGGCGCCTTAACAAAAGTAGCTGCTTCAGCATTAGCAGAAAACCCTGAGGCCAGGGCTGACAAAAACCAAAGCAGACACCCACAGTTGCAGTCCCGGGGTCCGCGTTTCTCAGGGCCCCCGCCGCAGGCTGGCTGTTGTTGTGCTTAGGGCTGCAGTAACCGCTGTCGCTGTCGATGTCAGCCTCGCTGGCGCCCTGCTCACTGGAGGACTCCGCGGCGGGGTGGGATGCTCTCCTCCTTCTGCCCTTGGACTTCCACGGCACGGGGGCAGTGCTCTCAGAGAGGGACTTGCTAGCGATGTCTGTCGGGAAATCTACAAGGCAAGAGAAGCACGGTGACTCTCAGGGAGGACCAAACTGGTAACTTCTAGTGAAATGAAGGTCGCAAGAAAACGAAAATCACACAGCTGCTACGGGACGTACACCTGCAATGCCAGCACTCTGTGAGGCTAGGCAGGAGGATCACGGTGCTGAGAGCTGCCTAGGTAACTTAGACAGACCCTGTCTCAAAACAAAACAAAACGAAAAACATTTGCAAATGGCGCTCAGTGCAAAGTACCTGGGCTCAATTCTTAGTACCTCACATACAGAGACAGAGACAGAGAGAAAGGGACAGAGTCACAGAAGACACAGAGACTGAGACACACAAAGGTACACAGAGAAAGACAAGAGACAGAGAAGGAGCGAAAGAGGCACACACACACACACACACACACACACACACACACACGGGGGGGGGACCCTAGACCATAATTACTGACCATGTGTAAAATTTTAAAAGGTGGCTCATCCAACCTGAGCAACTGAGTGACTTTGTGAGACCGTCTCAAAATGAAAAAGAAAAAGGGCTGGGGCTGCGGCTCACACGAAGGCTCCAGCTCCAGCCCTCGGCATTAGGGGACAGGCGGCCCACATGGGTTTTCATTTCCGTTTCCCATTTAAAAATGAAGTTAAGCATTCAGGCCTATGTTGTAATGCTTTTAGCCAATAACAACTTCTTTTTGTAACATTTTTGTTAATTTTACTTTTGGATTATTTGACTCCTGCCCATTTTTCTACTGAGTTGTTTACTATTCTTCTATTTCATAAATTATAATTATAGCTGGGCATGGTGGTGCCTGCAATCCCAGCACTCAGGAGGCTGAGGCAGGAAGACTGACATCAAGTCCAGCCCAGCCAGAGCTACTGAAGAGCTCAAGGCTAGTCTGCTCTACACAGTAAGACCTGACATCAAAAAGCAAAATCTGGACTGGGGAGATAGCTCAGTAGAATGAGCACTTGCCTGTCAAGCACAAGGTCCTGAGTTCAATCCCTGGTACCACAAAAAAAAAAAAAAAAAAAAAAAAGCAACAATCCATCTGTAATATGTTCCATGTTATGATTTCTTTATGGTTACAATACTCTGAGTGGGTATCCTGCATCTCTACAACATGTCACCTGCTGAAGGACACTAAGAGGGTTCAGGACGTAAAAACATGCTTTCTTCCCACCAGTAGCAGGGATTGAACCCCAGAGGTGGCACATGCTAGGCAAGCGCTCTACCACTGAGCTACATCCCATCCTTTTCTTTTTCTTTTCTTTTTTTTTTTTTTTTTTTTGCGGAACCGACGATTGAACTCAGACCCTTGTGCTTGCCAGGGTAGCTCTTATCCCACTGAGCCATATCGCTGGCCCCCCATCCCTTTTCATTTAGAAAGGGGTCTCACTGAGTGGCCGTGAACTCATGATTCTCCTGCCTCAGCTTCCGTAGTAGCTGGGATTAACATACACTTTAAATCAAACAGCCCCATCTCTCTCTAAGGGAAGCTTCCACTGGGACATGTTCACAGGGAAAGCTGCCTACAGCACTGCGAGGCTGCTTCAGTCCCTGGCACACTGTTCTGTAGGCCCCATGCGTAGTATAAGATCATTTTCCTAATGATTCTTATTAATTCTTCATCTCATACAAGTCCTTGTGCAAGTTTTCTAACATGTCAACAACTTTGTCAATATTACATGGTAGGCTATTTGTGCAAACTGTCTTGTTCACTTTTTTTAGACAGGGTTTCACTATGTAGCCCAGGCTGGCCTTGAATGCAAAGTGATGTTCCTGCCTCAGCCTCCTGAGTGCTGAGATGACAGGCCTACACCACCATGTCAGGCTGTTACTCACTTTTAGTAAGAATTAACATTCTTAGTTTTAAAAATAAGCTATCCCTACAATCAGACAGACATCTGACTGTTTCTTTCATCATCGATTTTCTCAAATAAGTCCTTAGGGGCTGGGGAGATACCTCAGCAGAATAAGTGCCTACCAGGGAAGAGCAAGGTTCTGAGTTCAATCCCTGGTACAAAATCAATAAATAAATCAAGTAAGTCCTTGGCCCATTTAGAATGGATTTGAGGTGGTGTAAGCTAAGAATCAACATGCTATCTCCGTCATTCTCCATGTGTGTCTTCTACATATACAGGACAGCAGTTTCTGTTGCATCTATACCAATAATACAACCCCAAAAGATTTAGCATGGCTTTGAAATTGTAGGGAGGAGCTCTTTCTGAGGATTTCCTGGTCTCAGACTCACTCCTTTGTTTTAGAATTACTCTGTCAAGGTCCCAAAAAATTTCTGTGGGGATTTCTATCAAACCTGCCTGGCCTCCGTCATATCAAGCCAACCCGCAGAGATATGGTATTTAGTTTTTTCTTAAGGTCCAATCATAAAATCTTAAGTTTTCTGCATAAACACCTTACGTGTCCCTGGGATTTACTCACAGAAACCTTACTTGCTTTATAAATGGTATCATTTCTTACATTTTGTTCTGTTGGCATAGTGAAATGCAACAAGCTTGTGCGTGTGCATGCGCACGTGTGCGCGTGTGTGTGTATTTAGCACAGGGTCCACAGGGTCTCACTACGTAGATCAGACTCGTAGTGATCTCCTGTTTTCAGCCTCCCAAGCACTGGGCTTACAGGCGTGCAGCACCATACCCTGTCTCAATTGCCATGTCAGTGTGCCCCGCGGGCAGCGCTGGCACAGCACACCAGGCATCAAACCCTGGTCTCTGCAATCTGCCTAAGCAGGCACTTTAGTCCACTGAGCTACTGGCCAGCCTTTGAACTTTTCTATATTGCCTCATACATAGCCATTGATTAAACTTTCAATATAAGGTTATGTTCAGAAGTAAAGATTTGTTACAAATAGATAATTCTCTTCAAACTACAATATTTAATTCTCTTATTAAGTTCAATAACTCCTCAGAAACCAAAAACAAACTAAAGAATAAAAGTGCTGACAGGGGGCTGGGGAAATAGCTCAGCAGAATAAGCGCTTCCCTGGCAAGCGCAAGGGCCTGAGTTCAATCCCCGGTTCTGCAAAAATAAAATAAAATAAAATAAAAAGAACAATAAACTTAAAGCATTAGCTGGGCATATAGCTCAGCAGCACAGTGCCTGCCTGGCAAGTGTGAGGTCCTAAGTTCAATTCCTGGTACCAAAATAAAAAGTTTAAAAAAAAAAAAAAAAAGTGCTGACAGAGGACAAGCGTGCCGGCAGCCCATACAGTCTTCTGCTCAAATCACGCCCTCATCCTTCACTTTCCAGTTGTTATGCTTCAGAAGATTGTCCAACTAAAGCAATGAAGGTAACTTTTTAAAACAAAATCTTCCCAGGGTTCAAAGGATGCAGAACTGGGTCACCAGGGGACTAAAAATAACCAACAGAGAACCTTAGGACCACGTTACCTAGTGATTCCTTTCTCCTACACCTTGCAGACCAGGGACTGAACCCAGGCAAGCACTCAACACCGGGCCACGTTCCCAACCCAGCACCTAGTGATCCCTCTCCTCAGCCTTGCCACACCTTCACCAGAGTTACAGCCACCGCTTTATGCCACGCAAACCACACAGCAACTGCTCCATCCACAAGACAGGTGTCCACCTGATTCCCCAGGGGATCCGAGTGGCTCCAAGAGCATCTACAAAGACACGGCAGACAGAGAAGGCATGGCCCAGCGGAAAGGACTGAGAGCTGTCTTACCATCTCAACCAGACCTCACCACAGCTGAGGCTGCGGAGGCAAACAGCAGCCATATTTTGAACAGACCTAGTGCTTGACCTCTGACTGTTAACGAGGATCTTTTCCTAGTGCTAGGGACCACGGAGGGGTGGAGATGGCCATCTACTCTACAGACGACAAACCGAGACTAGAGACACCAACTGGGACTACACGAAACTCAGACATCTAAGAAATTATAAGGATATTAATTCTTAACAAGTGTTAGACTAAAACTTTGTAAATTGGATGCTTATATAAGTCTTAAAATGTTTTCAAAAATTATGACTGCTTTAAAATGTTAATTTTTTTTTTTTGGCAGAACCAGGGGCCTGATTGAACTGAGGCCCTTGCACTTGCCAGGGAAGCACTTATTCCACTAAGCCATCTCCCTAGCCCCTAAAATGTTAATTTTTGATGTGATACACTGTTATCAGTTTTGTTTCAAATCTCTGCTTAAATGTGGCACAGGAAACTTTCTAAATTCTTTCTATAAAGATGTTACTGGGTGTTAACCCTTTAGAGGGCTTTAATCCAGTTATAAAAAATGTGCAATTTTTATTTTTACCAAAGGGAGCGCCTCAAAGTTACACAGTATCTGCACAACTCTCTGATTTCTGAACTGCTTCACTACTAGGAAGGGAAAGCAAAACCCAAGCCCCGCTCCGCAGGGCACAGATACTAGCAAGCAAGCTGGAAGGACGTTGAGGACGTGGACTGCTCCAGGCTGCCCACGGAATTTCGCCAAGTGGCAGGCATACAAAGTGCGGGGTGGGGAAGCCTGCAAGCACACGCATCCAGTCACCACACACAAGGAATTCGACGCACATGGTGATCCCAGAAGAAGCCCCGCCTTACCAGTCTGCTGTGATGCGTCTACCAGAAGCACGATTTTGGCCCGATGGTCGGGGCCGGCTGCATTAGTCTCCTTCTGAGTAGCGACATTTCTCACCAGTGGCCTTTTGCTTTTTATATGCTGCTGTAAAAGCTGTTGCTGAAGTAAGTTTAAAAAAAAGAAACATTCTTGAGAATCTTCAGAAGATATTTGAATCTAGCAGTTAATTAGAAAGATTCTCACCCTGACTAACTACATATACTGACACCTGTGAACTAAGCAACTGCACTGCAGATGGTAATCTGTAATAGTAGTTTCATGCTTGGAGTGCCTGTCATTCTGGTCTTCTGAATATGGGCTGCTTGTCATGACATGCCAGTTGCTGCT